TTATATATCTAAAAGTATATCTCACTGTAGATTTTTAGATACCAGAATGACATAATCACATTATTTATTATAAATATTTTATGTGATAAGTACATACCTTGTTGGTTTACACTTATTTTAAAATGAATTGGAAAAGTTTGTTGTATGTCATATATATATATATATATATATATATATATATATATATATATATATATATATATATATATATATATATATATATATATATATATATATATATATATATATATATATATATATATATTTTCTAGTATTATTAGTATAAATGATCAAGGAGTAATAACTCATATTATAGGAGGAAACTTTGCGCAGAGTTCGATTATCATTAATCGGTGGCTTCGCAATTTCTTATGGGCGCAGGCATCTCAAGTAATTCAGTCTTATAGTTCCTCATTATCTTTATATGGTCTTTTTTTCTTAGACGCCCATTTTGTATAGGCTTTTAGTTTAATGTTTCTATTCAGTGGACGTGGTTATTGGCAAAAACTTCTGGGAATCTCTTTCAAATAGCTTGACAAGGAAATTTTGAGGTATGGATACAGGATCCTTTACACGTAAGACCTATTGCTCATATAATTTGGGATCCTCGTTTTAGTCAACTGGCCGTAGAAGCTTTTACGCGAGGGATGCTCTTAGTTTACAATATGGTATTATTAACAATAAACTTACAATATTATTAACAATTATAAAAACTTAAAAATAATAATGTTATATGTAATAAACTTACAATATTATTAACTTAAACTTAAAGTGAGATATGTTATATTTTTAATGGAATCATGAGTTCGCACAAAGTAAATTAGTCATGAAAGTTGTAGAGTATTCTAAGAAGGAAACACATGACAGCTGTAGAGTATTTTAAGAATGAAATCAATTGGTTTTTCTCAAATTTATATGTTTATGCTCGAAAAAGTTTGGGGACTTTTTTAACCCAGTAAGTACCATTAACCAGGTTGTGAGAGAGTGTAGATGAAAAAGACGAATTTGCTAGAACTTGTTTTCTCTTTAATGGTAGCAGCTAGTTGTGAGAGAGTATTTTAAAATTAATTTTTATAAAAAGAAATTTAATTGGGGATTGTTTAATATTTTAAAAAATAATCAATATTTCTTTCTTTTCTATTTCTTTTATTCTTCTCTTATACAAATCAATATATCACATCTACTCTATTTCTTTTATATTTTTCTCTTTTAACACTCTCACCTATATATTTTTTATCACTTTCTTCTCATTGTCAAACACTAACTAAAAGTATGGTATGACCTTATAGCCTTTTAAATAACCTAATTAGTTTATATAATGGTATGATCATAATTTAATTATATTATTATATTATATATAATAATTAATTTAATTATATTAATATTTATATTATAGTTATATTAGCTATACAAAAAATGCAAAATATATTTAGAATAAGAGTTATGTTGCTCTTATTATATACACATTATTTTATTTTTGTTAACTATGATTCACAAAACTGAATTTAATACCTGTATTTTGCAAAAATTCCATGATATTTCGAAGTCCTACGTCAAGGATGTGTTTTGATTATTTGTTATGTTCATGTATCATTTTTGAGAGGGAATACAAAATCTTAAACAATAGTCCCATATCAAAATTTTATGACACAACTTGATATGAAACGAGTATATTAGATCTAAAATGAATGGTAAAATATATTTGTATAAGTTTAATAAGTTTTATTATAGCAACATATTTAATTAAATCAGTTTTTTTTTTATAATTAAACATAATTTTTTAATTAAATTGACCAGGTCTGAGAATACCTAAATAGGTTACACCGTTACCGCATATCAATCGATCTAGTCTATTTTTCACTCCTAGTTAGACTATCTTTAATTAAAATTTTGGGAGGATTTATGGTAGCAATTTGTCCTTCATTGTGAGTATGAGAACTTCCTGTAAAGTTTTAAGATTGTGAAGTGGTTGGTGATGATGAAGTCACACCATATGGAGATTTGGTTCATTTTGCTTTATTTGCAGGTGTTGAACCAATCAATTATAGCAAGACTTTAAAGACTAAACAATAGAAGGAAGTTATGGTCGAAGAGTTACAAGCGATTGAAAGAAATAATACATGAGAGCTAATTGAATTTCCAACACATACAAAAACTATCGAAAGTGAAATAAGTATTTAAGTTGAAGCATAATGTTGATAGGTCGATATCAAGACATAAGGAAAGATTAGTAGCTCGAGGATTTCTTCAGATAAAAGGACTCTACTAGTCTGAAGTATATGCACCAATAGTAATATTGGAGACTATTCTGTTGGTGGTAGCCTTGGCATGTAAGCAAGATTGGTCGACATTTCACTAAGATGTGAAATCAACATTTTTTTAATGGTCCTCTATAAGAAGAGGTATATGTAACATAATCTCTCAAGATTGTGATATAGAAGGAAGCAAGAAAAGTATACAGGCCGCACATAGCGCTCTATGGCTTTAAGCAGGCACCTGCGACATGGAACAAGAAGATTGAATCATACTTGGTCGAATTGAAATTCATCAAATGAAAATATGAGTATGGTGTCTATGTTCAGGTTCTGGCACAAGATATAACAATCATTTGATTATATGTCGATGACTTATGAGTAACTGAAAATAACTTGGAGAATTTGTCGAAGTTTAAAGAGCCGGTGAAGAAGAAATTTGAAATGTCAGATATGTGAATGTTGTCATACTTCCTAGACATGAAATTTCAAAGATATGATGTTGCATCAAAGAAAGTATTTCAAAGATATACTTAAGAAATTCATGATGGAAGACTCGAATCCTGCATCCTCACATGTCAAACCAAATGTTAAGCTGGAGAAGTGTGGAAAGGAAGATTAAGTCGATGTCACTCTATTCAAACAAATTGTCAGATCTTTGATATATGTGTGCAACAATAGACCTGATATAGGTTTCTTAGTCGAATTAGTGAGTAAATACACGAGTGAACCAAGGATGTCAAACATGAAGGTTGCAAGAAGAATCCTGAGATACTTAAAAGCATCGACAAATTATGGAGTTCTATTTCCAAGAGATTCTAAAAGAAAAGAAGTTGAAATTACTTGTTACTCAGATGTTTATTGGTATGGAGATAAAAAAAGATCGAATAAGCACAACTGCCTACTTCTTTCAAGTATTTGGTGCACCAATCTCATGGTGATCGATAAAGCAACATGCGGTAGCATTATCATTATTAGGGGTGGCAAGTGGACATGCGCGCCCCATTTAGACCCGCCCCACAAAAGCCCACAATAAAACGAGGTGGGGCAGAGCAATCATAGTTGAGGATAAAGGCCTAAAACCTAGACCTGCCTCACAAAAAAATAATGGTGGGGTGTGGAAAGCCTACGGTCATTGCACCTTTTAAGTTTAAAAATGCAAAATTTTATGCAGATGCACGTGCCTGTAAAAACCCACGAAGAAAATTTGGCGGGGTGGGGCGGACACAATAGAGGGGGAAGGCCTAAACCCCTGGCCCGCTCTGCACTAAAGTGCAGACAATACGAGCATGCTCAACCACCAAACCTGTTTTACCACCCCTAATCATCATGTGAGGCTGAATATATAACATGTTCTTAGGTTGCTTGTCAAGCAATTTTAATCAAATATGTGTTGGAAGAGATGGATGTCGAAGTGAAGAAACCTCTGATACTGCAGATCGACAACAAATCAACCATTAATCTTGCAAGGAATCCAGTTCTGCATGGGAGAAGTAAGCACATTAAGGCGATGTTTCATTTCCTAAGGGAGAAGGTAAACCATGGTGAAGTTGAAGTGAGACGTTGCTTGAGTGAAACACAGTTGGCCGAAATTTTCACCAAAGGGTTGAAGATCGACAAATCTCGAACTTTGAGAAAGAAATTAGGAATAGTTCATATCAACTATGATCAGTTTGTGTTCGACAACTTGGATTATAAGGAGGTTTGTTATGATATAATCCAAGTTGTAGCCCAAGCTCAAGTTAGTTAGAGTTAGAATTTGTCTAATTTGTTATTTAGTAATCAAATCACTTAGTTGTATATAAATAAATACTTTGTAACTTAATTTTATAGCACAACCACATTCAATAATAACAATCACTATTCTTCACTCTCTTTTTCTTTTCTCTTCTCATTAAAAATACTCACATGCTAACAATTAAATATTCTTTCACGCAGATTTTTGTTTTAATAAAATCTTTTTCACATAAAGTAAGATTAACAAATCTTTTTCTAAACAAAATATTTCCATATGCTAAAAACACTCTTGATTCAATATAAGATATATACACTAATAAATTTTGAAGCAATCACATGATTATCTAAATAGTGTGTGCTAGGAAAAACTAAAAATAAAATGTCAGGCCACATGTCAAGACATCTTATTAAATAAATTGTCGATATAAATATGTCAATAAATTGTAATAACTACTCCAACCTCTCTAACATAATATGATGAAGCTTCTATTGTATCAAACTCTTGATCAGTTGTGAAAGCATTGGTAATAGCTACGCATAAATTCCATTTATCACTTGATTAATATATCTTCAAATCTATAATTCTAGAACAACACAACAACAATATTGGAAACACAAAAAATACAAAATCGATAAATTTGCAAGGTATGAATTATGGTAAACTTCTCTCAAGCTTGTTTAAAGTTTTCCAATTTATAAATTTGAATTATGTAAATGTAACTAAGATGTGTTGTGATTTAATTCAATTATATTTTAAAAATCAAAATTTGTAATCAAATTAAAATTAATATCTTATATATAATAACTAATTTAAAACGCATGCTTTTGTATTTATAAGCATCAAATCTAAAGATACACATACTGAAAGAAAAAAAAAGAGAGAACACAGTAAAATCAACATAATAATAAAATTTTAGAACTTTAAATTCATTTCATTCATATTTCATTGATACGTCAAAATCGAGTCGATCCAAAATATACATCAAGTAAACCTTAATTTTAATAATATTTCTAATCAGAACTGGTGAACTTGGTGACGGATTTGGTTCCCTCAGAAACGGCGTGCTTAGCAAGCTCACCGGGAAGAACGAGACGAACAGCGGTCTGGATCTCCCGGGAAGAGATGGTGGATTTCTTGTTGTAGCGAGCGAGTCTAGAAGACTCCTGAGCCAGCTTCTCGAAGATGTCGTTGATGAAGCTGTTCATGATCCCCATAGCCTTGCTGGAGATTCCAATGTCAGGATGGACTTGCTTAAGAACCTTGAAGATGTAGATCTTGTATGTCTCGACGTTCTTCTTGTTTCTCTTCTTCTTCTTGTCAGTGGAGGATGCATCCTTTGGGATCTTTTTCTCAGCTTTTGGTTTCTCTACCGGTGACTTCTCTGCAGGCTTCTTTGCCGCTGGTTTCTTCTCTCCTTTGGGGGCCATGGCTGATGAAAAGGTTGACACGGAAGAAAAGGGTTTCTGGAAGAAAAATCGAGAATGAGAAAAAGATGATGGCAAAAGTGATGAAGTTCAGAAAGTGGGAGAATAGTTTATATAGGAGTAATTAGTGGGACCTGATTGGTGGGACTGAGAGCACGCGGATTGATGACGTGTAAAGTTCGTTTTGGAGGGAGAATTTTGAACATCGAATATAGCTTGCGCAATTTTAATTTTTTTAAAAATGTAATAGCTGTTTTTTCATTATTATGAATTTTGGAGCTGAGTTGCTTGCAGGTTTATAAAGGGGATTTGGGCCACATTCAACAATTATTCCTTCAACTCCATATTTTCTACGAAATGATCACTTCTATATTTAAACTTAAAGTTAAACTCTCAGAATTTCGTTTTTCTCGTCTTCTTTCAATTTATATAATTTTTTTTTAATGCGAAAGAAAAGAGAAAATCATCTCTATCCTAACACTCTAAAAATATCGATTAAATATATTTATTTATCGGAATACTTCTTTATAATTTATTTGATTAAATAAATTTCTTACAAATTAACAAGTGTTCTAATTTGTATTTTTTATTTTGTATTTACCGAATTAATATAATTAAAAAAATTGTTTGAAATTCAAAATTCATCTTGCATTTGTTAAATTAAGTTTCCGTTTAAACAACTCAACAAGTCCTGAACAGAATTCAAAATTATGTCATTTCATAAACAATTATCATTCTAAACTATTGCAAACCTTCATAAAAATGTCTCAAACTTTTGCATTAATTCTTAGAAGTTTCTTAGGATGTATTTAAAGCAAAATACGTTAGTGTTCATATTACCTTTTTCATCATTAATTTTTCACATAAATTCAAAAAAAGTTCTAAGTGTTCATTCTTTTTCAAAAATGTTGAAACTATGCGCATAACTTTAAAATCATTCATAAATGTTTCATGATATTTTTTGAGTACTTAAGGTTCTTATATTATTGAATTGTAAATTGAAAGAGAAGATCAATTGTCTATTGGATTTGATTCAAGAACAACATCATATATTCAAATTTGATCAAGTATTGTAATTGATCACCAAGTGTGTACTGTCTAAATTTGTATAGAAAATGTGTGTACTTTCTAAAAGTAGTTGTGAATAGATATTGATATATTTTCTATTTGTTGGAGAAAGGTCATTTAAATTGGTTTGATCAATGTTTTAAAAATCGGACCGGTCATCGAACCGGTAAGAGTATTGAGTCACTGGTTTATCGGTTGAACCACTGGGTCACTGGTCGAACCGCATGACTAAACCGGATAACTCGGTTGAATAGACCTGTTATCATAACAAAATCATATAGGTATAAAATCGGTTGAACCGGATAATTCAGTCTCTAAAAAAATATAACTAAGCACTTAATTTTTTTGAAAATATCATATCATAAATTCTCAAGTTCATAATTTAAATTCAAAATTTAAACATAAGTATCAAATATAATAAAATAGTATAAAATTACAAAGTCTAATTGCAAATAAAGTGTAATTGCAACATAATATAATTGAATAATTTATAACAAAATAACTCCAATGTCTACTTAAGTTTAGTTCCAAGGAGGTAAAATTATTTCAATACTAGGATCTCCTTCTTCAATATCAAAACCATCTGCAGCAAAATCAATCGCATCTGCAACACTTTCCCCATCAATGATATTATTATTTTGGTTGTTTTCTCCAAATTAAGTTGTTCACCATATTCGACATCAACCTCATCCAAATTTAATTAATCTGTAACAACAAATAAATTAGAGAGTTAAACAATTAACATATAGTAATAAATTAAAATAACAAAATTGTTATCAGAATAACTAATATCATACTAATATTATTTGACATGGGTTGGATTGTCATACTAGCAAGATCTTTGCGTAGTATTTCCACCTCCTAAATGGTTAAGAATGGTGGTGAATCCTTCAACACCCAATCAGAATGATCACCAAGTATTTTAAAATTGATAGGATCATAATTTTGTTTCTTCTTGTTTCTATAAATCATTAACGATAATGTCAAACATAAAACTCATTAATATTCTTAAAAACTAGTAGTATATAACTAACTTAACTAGCTTACAAATTAATAATATAAAATATATATTAACGTTGTACTAAAATGCAACATATCAAGCAATAGCAACAACCAAAGCATATACTCAAATTCCTAATTAAATGTTTCCAAATCTCAGTACTATTTTTTGAGATAGAAAAACAAATTAACAAGTTTCTACATATCAAGCAATAGCTAGTAGTATAAATAATATCATAAGCAAACAACATATAGTTTTTTTAAATTTTCATCATTCATAATCATAAACAACATAAGTATATAAGCAATAGCATATAAAGCATAATAAGTGCAACACATGTTTTGCAGTCGTAGGTTGTAACGAACAAAGACAAGATCATTAAGCTTTTGATGCTCCAACCTATTTCTTTTTTTGAATGAATGTGCTCAAATACACTTCAATTTCGTTCACAATCAAATGCACTACAAGTTTGGCTCAAAATCCGAATAGCCAACTTTTGCAAATTGGGCGCTTCGGTTCCATAAGTTTCCCACCATTGATCTAAAATAGTGCATGTGAAAAAATAAGAAAACATTTTAAAATTCATATTGAAATTATACTAAAATGCATAAAGTTTATCATCTAATTTTACCTGGCAAAACTTCATCTCGATTTTCTACGGTCGTTGTCCTTCCAAAACTATCTTCACAATTTTTGAATGAACTCATCTCAACAGTTAACTTAGTTCTCAAGTCCTTACTATCATAAGCATACTTTTCAATGACATCCAAAAGACCTTGGGTAGTGGACTTGTGTTTTTCATATTCTTGACTGAATCTACAAGATGGATTTAACCAATAACCAGCAGCATGAAGATTTTTGCAAAGTTGTGCATCCCAACGGTTATCTAAGATCCTCAAATAAGGCTCTACTTTCAGCTTATTTCTTCTAAACCTCTTCTCAATCTTCTCTCTTGCTTTATACATAGCTCGATAGAGATATCCCATAGCCGGTTTATCTTCACTATCAACAATACGCAACATACTTACAAGAGGTTTTGTAATTTTCACTATGTTAACACATGTAGTCCAAAAGCTTGAGTCTAAGACTTGTTCCACAAATTGATTTGCCTTGACATCTTTGAAATAAGTTGTATTTATCCACTATTTGGATGTTACCATGGCTCTTAGTGCATCTTTATGAGACAAAATACTTTGCAATGCAATAAAATTAGTAGCAAAGCGGGTTGGAGCAGGACGAGGTATTTCTCTTCCACCTGTATTTTGTCTCATCAAATACAATGCAAAATGATGATTATATATGTATTTGGTCATTTTTGAAGCATGTGACACTGCCCCACTTACTTCCTCTAATTTCCCCATGTCTTGCAACATCAAATTAATAAAGTGTGTTATACAAGGAAACCAATACAACTTAGGAAACTCCTTTTCCAACAACTTTCCAGCAGAAACATAATTTGCAGCATTATCTGTAACGATTTGAACAACGTTTTCTGGGCCAACATACAACACTACTTCCTTGAAAAGCTTAAACAAGGTGTCTGCAGTTTTAGAAGCACTAGAGGCATCAACAGACTTTATGAAAACAGTTCCTTTGGGGCAATAAACTAAAAAGTTGATAAGAGTTTTTCTACAACGATCACTTCACCCATCTGCCATAAGAGTACAACCTGTATCCTTCCAAATAGAACGATATTGCTCTATCTGTATCTTCACGTCATCAACCCACTTATTTAACTAATTACCACGAAGAGCATGCATAGTAGGAACTTTGTATCCAGCACCCATGCAACAAAGAGCATCAACTACTGGTTGAAAATAAGGCGAATTTACAGCATTGAAAGGAATAGACGCATCAATAAACCACTTTGTAATAGCAAGATCACACTTTTCTACCACTTTTTTACTTTGCATCACACTTTTTAAAGTAAGTTAAGCTCCCAGAGTTGTTCTGGGTAAAAAATAAGTACCAATGCGAGCGTCATTCTTTTTAGATGCATCAATTTGTGGGTTCATTTGCATTTGCAATTCACCCCCCCCCCCCTCTGCAGAAAATGACTCACTTTCAGTCACATATGGAGTTTTTATTTTCTTGTTCCGCTCATTAAGATATTGGTTCATCCAAAAACGAATTTCAACATTTCCTACTACTCCAGCCAAGTGTTGCTTTACCCTATGAATTCCACCTCCACCAAACGCTTTGCGACAGTAGATACAAACAAGATATTTTCCATCAAGACTTTTAGTACAATGTGCCCAAGCTATATCAGTCTTTCCTCTAACATTATGTTGAACTAACTTAGGAGTTGAAGAAGCTTCTTATGATGGTGGTGTTTTAGAAGATGCCATTTTCCTATAAAACAGTTCAAAATTGTTAAATTAAAATACACTTTAGCCTCACGTATGCCAAGTTCAAATTGTCAAATCTGTGAACTTTAAACAAGATACCTAGAAATATACACATAAGATTTTCATTTAAACTTTTTTTTAATGAAACGATACACTTTCCTCTAACGAAACGACACAAATATAAAATCGGATTGGTCCTAAGGCATGCACCAAATTGTAATACATAAAAAAAAAATTTAATGAAATTATTTAACATGTAATTCATATGGTAATACTATTAAACAAAAATAATCAACAAATCTCCCAATTTTTATTACTTTTCATTAGGGAAAACAAAAACATAACCTTATTAAAACCAACTATTTTCATAGCCATTTTTCACAATCAACTTCAATATTACACTGACTCCAATTCAAACACTTTAACTTCAATTCCATCCACTTCTAACATTTTTCACTAATTCATCTAACGATTTTCCTAGCTCTAACAGTTCGGTTCCAAATCGTTTGTAATAACTTCTCACATCACAGTAATAACTTCCTAACAGTAACTCATTTTCATAACTAAACTTAACCTTTTTTCTCATT